TTCCCCAGTGGCGCGCGGCGTTGCTTCTGGATCGGCACGAGACGATTCGCTGCTCGCCCATGTATGAAACCTCGTTCGTCGAGTTGGCTTGGTTCGTCGCGATGACCATCATCACTGCCCTGGCGGCGGCCGCAAAGAAGTACAAACTCGCGCAGGACATTCTTGGTAGATCTGAGTCCACCTGGGTAGCTTGGAGTGAATTACATTAGTAAAGAATAGAGCCCACCGTGTATCATCTTTCACAGTGACTCGCTCCAAGACTTAGCAATCAAGACGCACCAGTAAGGCTAGAAGGTAGTCGACCTCCCAGCCCGAGCGCACTCCTCTGATAAGAAGAGTTGGGTGTCGATGTCGTGCAAATGGGGGATGGACACCGCATTCAAAGTCATTGACTTTGTCCAGATGCTGAAGATCATTGCCAGACTTGCTCTGATGATTTGATATAAGTCTTTTACCGTCTTCGTCAACGTCCAAATCTTCTCGACCCAACGGTCAAGCTCGGGGCTAATTCCCGCGTCCTTCCGGGCTCTTGTAACGGCAACCCACCAGTTGGAGGAGACCGTAAGCCTCTTTGCTTTCAGTCGTCTCCTCTACGCATCTCTAAGCCGGCAGTATCGGTTCAGCTCAACGAGACCCCTTCGTTCCCCATTGAGCAGTGCTGGTTTCTCACCCACCGCCTTGTCCCAACCGGCTGCTGCGTGATACTGGTCTCCGCCGTCAAAGCGCGCAAAGTTCCAGTTATATATCAGGTCTAACGCCTGGGTATGAGACTCGACGCCGTCATCGCGGCTCAGCAAGATAGCCTCGAGACGTTTGAGCGCTTCCTTGTTCTTATCACACTTCCCGTAGGCTCCCGCGTCGGCCATCAGTGCGTCCATAGGTGCTGTGCGAATGGCGACTGGCTGCTGTCCACTCAAAAGCTGCGCATATTGGCCGGCTTGCATATTGTCCGGAATATGATTTAGATCCCACCTCACGTCATACATAGCGCGTGATAGATGGCCCGTGTCTCAGTTTGTGCTGCTCCCGTGCAGTTTACTTTGTTCAGTAAAACCTAGGTGAAGACGTTCGTTTATGTGGACTAGTCCTTTAGGTTCTACTCTGTGGTAAGCGTTTCCGTTCCAAAGACGCATCTGTCGAGCCTAAGGAAGATGCATGCGAATGTTTCTGTGATCTTTAGCTGTGCTGTGAAGACATGTCTTTAGACTCTTATAGCACTTGAAGCCTCGCTTGGCGCATCTTTTGACCAGCGACTCTACGAGTGATAAGGTTCGTGCTGAGTTTTGGTGGCCATGGAGGGTGTGTTTCTTGGAGAGGGCTCAGAGTCATCATCGACCAGAACAACCATCCAGACACCGATCGCGCCGTTGGAGCCTAGCAGTGGTGTAAAATGAATCTAGCGGCTACGGCCTCGAGACGCTGGTGGAGGTTGACCACCGCCCTCGCTATGGCTCTCATGGTTCATGACGCGCGAGTGGTGGCTTTGGGCTTGCATGTCTGACCGTGATAGCCAGCGGATCTTGGCAGTTATGCCGTGGCTATCGGCAAAAGCATGAGAGAGGGTGTCCCGAACGCGGTCAGAACCTCCGATGCGCGACAGGAGCGGGCTTTGTAGCATGCCGGGAATACGTAGTGATGGCGATGCGAAGAGGATACGTAGGTTTGGGTATGGTCGGACGAGCAGATAGTGCTGGAAGATACCGCTGAGGCGTCCGCCCCGGTATGTGTTGACCGACTCATGAAGAATCGGATCTGATGGCCGCCGGTTGATTGAGGCGTCGTCAGAGATGACCAACCTCGGCCTGTTCTAGTTGGCTGGCATGGTGTCCGAGTTCTTCACCTCCTCCTGGTGTATGCGGTGTAGAGCACTACCCGACTCTCGTACTGTCTTGAGCTCGGAGAGATCAAACATCTCAGCCAGCTCACGGAATTCGTCCTTGTTGTGGTCTGAGTGATGTTGAACGGGCGCCTCACCTGGGTACTGCTCAGGGTTCTCCCGCTGCATGAGTCTCGAAAGCGAGTCCAAGCCTGAGCATTCCTTGACAAGACCAGACACATCGACTTGTGCGCCCAGGTGGTAGCGCACGATACCCCTAGAATCATATAACGGAGCCACTATGAGCAGGTTTATAAAAGGGGAGCCGTCGCGGCGGTAGTTGAGGAATGTCTCGCAGTGTTCCTTGCCGGCTTCGAGCTTCTCTCGGATCCTCCGTATACTAAAAGGGTTGGTTTTGGGGCCCTGGAGGAAGCGATAGTTCCGACCGATGGCATAGTTCATGCCGTACTGGGTCGTTCTGTGGAACTCTGTTTCGCATCCATGTTAGCTATGTGGTAAACGAGGTCGGATTGTCTGCTTACCTTCACTTGCAAAGACGATGGGGTTGTCGGGTCGTGATGGGTCAGATAAATAGAAAACTTCGGTAAGTCCTTCTGATATGTCCCTTAATTGCGGCGATAGCGTGTCTGTTATTCTCCGCTTTATGGTCACACTGACTGTCTGGATGAATGTATGCGTGATGTAGGCAGGCAGGTCGTGGTTGGCTATGACCTCGAAGGTATCGTTAGCCCTCTTGCGTAGCGCATTGTTGATGGTGCTGGTGACAGGATCTTGGGTGAATTGAAGCCCGTTTATGGTCTTGAGTGAGCCCGTCAGAGCATTGGCGTAGTCAATGGCTTTGAGCGCCTTGAGGGTGTCCAAGTAGTAGGCCAATAGAGGCAACGAGTCTGGCCGCGACGAGGAAAGGAAGTTTGAGAATCGTTGGAGCAGTAAAGGATCCTTAAATATCACCTTGAGGTGCTTGATGGAGAAGAGTAGCTCGGATTGTGTTTCGAGGGTGTACTGCTTGCCTAGTGCGTGTGCTGGCACAATAAGATCAAAGGAGGCGGGGTCATATTCTTCCTCGCGCAATGGCTCGAGCCTGTCATTGTCTATGCCACCCTTAGTCTGGAGCGCGGGCAGCGTGGTGGGTATGTATATCGATGAGATGGACGATGCGTCTCGCTGGGACCACGGAGAGTCATGGGTGCGGTAGGATAGTGCGCTCCTCGAGGCCGTCGAGGCAGTGTCGATTTCTCGGGGATAAACCATGCCGTCACGCACGGACTATGAGTCATCTTGGTAGAAGCTATGCCTATTAGCTTAGTCGCCGTCGATTGACTTTTGGGCAGATAAACCTTCGCTTGGTTGACACTGGCCTTGGGCAATGCGCTCCCGTCGGAGTATTCTCAACTAGTCCGGGAGTCATCTTCCGAGGCATAGAGTGTGATTGCAGACTGTCTGACCGGGCCGGGATCTGGCCGTTGTTCTCGGGGTTCTCAGTAACGATTGAGTATATGGCTGGGAGAGATGACTTGACTTGCAAAGCCCAGAAACGTTGGCAGCGACGAGTTTTAAGACAAAAGTCAACGGCCTAACACGGCAACACCCAGGGGAGAGATAGTATGACGAAGCTACGGCAGACTATCACCGCGTAGCGCCAAGCTAGACCGGCTGAGACATTAAACTTTGGTGCCCTTGGGAAGATCCCACTTGACAACTGTCAAATGACGAACCGCGCCAAAGCTCAGGCCCCTTACATTAGCGTCTGCCATCCCGTCGGCAGATGCTGTAACGCCCCTAGCCCGATCGCTATGTAAGTTGATCGGTCCTGGGATCGCGATCAGAGCGTCGAGCTTTCCGATGTGTCGCCTAGGTTCATCTCGGCTCTTCTCCCTCCGAGCGTCTGAGTTGGTTACATGCCCATTTCTCAATTGCTGTCCCTTGCCTCTCATCTGCAGGGATATGCAGATCATCTAAGCGACAACAGGGCAATCCCATGCAGAGTCACTTCTTTAGGGTAGGCAGCCATATTCACACAAGAGGTTGGCTATTATCTCCTCCGCAGATGTGCTTCGAGCCACATATAGTTTGTCTGTTTAACGTAGCGAAATTCTTAGTTGAGACAGCGCTAAAGAAATAACAGAAACGGCCACCCGTAAGTTACCGTCTCGTGGCGGGACGGCGTAAACCGTGGGAGATTAAATTTCACGCGCCGGTTCGACGGTACCGGCGTGGCGTCTCGCGTGGAATCAAACCTTGGCATCATCGACGTTCGTAAGCTAAACTAGGTTTGAATGTTTGGATTTTACCTTTCATAGTCTCGACCGCTATAAGCTTCCGGGTTCCGGGCGAACAAAGAGTTGTGCCTGACCCCGGCAGTCAAAAGCGTCTCCCCTCCCCCAATACCAAAGGGCGAGGTGATTCCGCACTCATCAAGAAATTCCGCCCCCGGCCAACTTTTTAGCACCCCTAAGACCCATTTCGTCAAAGATTAATAGAACCACCTTGGTCCTTCACTGCAAACTTGGTGGGGTGGAACTTGAAGGCACTGATGCGTGGTTGGGCAGTGCGTGGTAAATCTCCGAGGAACCTGACTCAAGTAGCTCTTGACTGATAGCTGAAGCCTAGAAGTTGGCGTCGTCATCTTTGCTAGACTGCTGTTAGTAACCATCCCTAACCAAAGGCCAGATTTCTCAGGGCAAACTCTACGCTTTATAAGTGACACCGATCAGGATTGGCAATTATCTTTAAATAATTGAATTCTGGTAAAAAACTAGCTTTCCCGTAAGATGCCTTAAATGAGATGGTAGTTATCTTTGACTGATCGATAGTATTGCATATTTGTCTATCGCCCTGGTAGCCGACTGCTTGACGGAAAGTGAAGAGCGGGAAGCACTATTTGCCAACGTCAAGCCAGCACGACCGGCTTGTTATGCCCTGCGAAACAATATCTTGTGATAATTGATCTAAAGTTTTGATTCCCTAGGCTAAGATGCCCGTGATTTATATGTGGCATTTACTCATTAAAAGTTTTTCTTCACTTCTCTATTACCTTCTCTGTCGGTCGATAGTATCATCGGCAAATATTATCCATCTTAATCACTTCTATATTCCCGCGCATATCCTTCGTCGCATTCTCTGCCTGAGGCCTGGGCTTATACTCGACGCTAATTTCAGTTGTCTAAGTGATGCCCCCTCCGCTGCCGCCATCTCTATCCTGAGGGCTCCGTCCCAGAATGCTGCTGTCGCTTGCGCCGTCTTGGTCTTCCGGGTGGGCTCGCCCTGCCGTGACGGTGCGGTTATAGAATCTCCCAGTGCTGTTGTCGCCCGTCTTGAGATATGTACTAGCTCTCGGCGTCGAATCGGTGCGCGTTCGGACGTTGCGGATGAAGCCACGGAGGACGGGGATGGACGCGGAAACGATGGTGACTTTGGGCTCGGCTATGGACCATATCCAGTAGACCGCTTGGGTATTTAGGTCTATAGGCGAGCAGAAGCGTTAGTATGGATGTGGTTTGTGTCGCAAGGTTCGAGAAGCGTCTTACAGTCGGGAGATCGCACGTCGATCAGCATATACCCCTGGACGGCTTTTATCACGCCCGTGATCCCAGCGAGGACACCTATGCTCAACGCGAGGGCTATACCGATTCTCTCGTTCCTTTTTATTTGCAGATTGAATATCATCCTCCACGGCAGCAGGGCTAGAATGAAGTCGCAGAGGGCAGAATACACTGTCGCCGTGAAACCACATCAGGGATATTCCACGGTAATCCTGGATAAAAGAGGGCGAACTCACGAGCGCTAAAGACGGTAAAAGTGACAGACTGGCTCAATTTCCAGCAGTTATCCCCTCCGATATGTCCCTGGTCGGGAGCACCACAGATGGCCTGCCATGTAGCGATTATGTGCACGGCGAACTGCAGGTTTATGGAGATGATAAGCCCCTAGATGAGTTTTGCCTCCTAGCCCCCGGGCATTAAACGCAACAGCGTGATTCCAAAAGACGTCTTGGTCAGTCCCAGGGCGAGAGACTGCAGATTGTGATGGGTTCGAGCGATAGTGATCTTTGTCAAGCTGCCTGGGATTAAGAAGACCACCATTAGCCAAGACAAGCAGGCCGAGGCCAGGAGAAGAAAGGTCTACCCGGCGAGGAGAATCCAGTCGTCCGCCTGGAGTCCGATACCGACTTTTCGAAGTCGGCTGTAGCCTCGGAGTCCTATGAAGATGGTCGACACGAAGAGTTGCTATGAACAAGGGAGGAGTCAGTGTTCTAGTATCTGGCGACGTATGGGATCCGAGACGGTCGGTGGGAAAACTCACTGCCCATGTCGTTGCGTGTATAAGCACCGAAAGATCATCCCTATCATGGGCTATCTCGTCGATTGATCGATAGATACCGCCTATTTGAACCACGCAGCCCTATTTAAGTATCATTGAGACGACGATTGTTGCTCGCGAATCGTGGTTTCTCTCGTGGGGAGAGATATTAAGTTATGATTGCGTGGCAGCCATCCCCCGGAGTTTCGACTATCCTTAAGTCAGTAGGAGGCGTGTTGGCTGTCTCACATGTTATATCGCTACTTATGCGACGGCAGGGGACCTACCAACACGAACAAGTCTTCTCCGTACCGAGTACAACCCGAAGGGGTCTGTCCGTTTTGGCATATAGCACTCCTGCGGCGTAGCGAGCACCCTGTAAAGCAATTTGTCAGTCAGGGCACTTATCTCTATGGCTGGTTTATTGTAGCGCGGTAGAATTGTTCCCACCTTTTAAGATTAATAGATCCTTGTGGGTTGTAGGGCGGAGGCAGCCGAGAATTGATACTCGGATATTAGCTGCTGCAAGGTGTAGCTAATTGCATAACGTTATTAGACAAGGCCGTAATAGCCAAACGTCGTATAGCGCTGGAACTCCCCTAAACTAGCGTGGCATATCCTGGTGTGATATGGGTACATATACTGCTTTACTTACTCGCGGGAAATGAGTGTAAAATCCGGAAGAGGTTCCCTAAGCTGTGAGAAGTGATAGACTTATAGGCCCTTGATCACGAATATGCATACTATTGGTGGGGCTTTCTGTCCCGCCGGCCCAGTCGCCACCGGCACGGCAGCTTTAGATTCCCGCTGTGGATGGCTTGGGAATCATTAAAGGGTTGTTGTGTCTTCTGCAAGCCTTGTTTCTAGAGCTGTCTGCAGTTTAGCTCTCTCTCCGATACTCGTTTTTGGTTTTTGAGTTTTTTACCAAGTCACTCCTTTATTTGTGTGTGTTGTTTCTACCATGCTCATTAAGTCTGTTCCGGTCTTGGTGTCGTTGGGATTGTCTGCTCGTGTTGTTGCTCAGCAGTACAACACCACCTCAACCGGCTTCAAAGGTGTATGGCTTCCTTGTCTATCATTCTTGTCCCCCTCCTCTTTCTTATTAACCACACATTTCCTTCTATTCAATTGTTGATTAAGAATGAATAGTGCGATGCCCTTCTCGATGCCGGTCTCGAAGATATCCTGGTCTTCCCAGAGGACGTCGCATACGTCGACAGCGTCTCGACCTACTATGCATCTGAGAATCGCCGCCTTCGGCCAGTCTGCATTGTGCAGCCTCGCTCAACCGACCACGTCTCCGAAGCGGTCAGGGCTCTGAGCCGAGCCAGCGGCGCCGGCAACTGGGACATCGCCGTCCGATCCGGTGGTCACAGCGACTTCGACAACAATGCCGTCCATCGAGGTGTCACCATCGACCTTACCTTCTTCAACTCGATAGATCTTGTCAAGCGTGATAGTGTTAAGTGGAAGGGCAAGAGTACACTGACCAAGGTAAGCGTCACACTGCTGCGTTGAAAGAGACAGTAACTGACACCTTTGTCAAGTCAATCGCCCAGATCCGCCTAGGAGCTCGATGGGGCGAAGTCATGACTTACCTTGAGAATCACAACCTGGGAGTTACAGGCGGCCGTTCCGGTCATGTGGGCGTAGGTGGCCTGCTCGTCTCGGGAGGTGCTTCGTACCACACCCAACTCTGGGGTCTGTCATGCGACAACGTCGTTAACTACGAGGTCGTCCTGGCCGATGGATCCGTCGTTGAAGCGAATGCGAGGCATAACCAGGACCTTTTCAAGGCTTTGAAGGGTGGCGGCAGCAACCTGGGTATAGTCACTCGTTTTGACATGCGGACCTTCACTACTCCTCCCTCTGGTGTTTACGGCGGCCTGCTTTTCACCTCATGGGACCACTTGAACGTCGTCACTAAGCAGTTCGTCGAGTACGCCAGCTCCATAGGCTCAGGCAACCCTGACCATCAGTTTGTCGTCTATCGAGCCGATGCGGGCAATCTCTCCCTCATGGCCATGGCGGTCAGCACTGACGGAAATGATGACTCTCCCACCTTTCGAGCCTTCAGCACCATCCCCCTTACTAGAGACCTCAGGAAGAAGCAGCCCCTCAGTAGCGTCGCCGCATCTATCGCGGATACTGGTGGCTCGAACTACATCCCCTTTACTCTTAGCCTCTAAGCTACCACCGATATGATGAACAAGGCTGCTGATATCTTTGTCGCTCTGACGCAAGATCTGCGCGACGCAGACATTCCAGTGTCTGTCAACTTTGTCTTCCAGCCTCTACCAAAGAACCTCGCTTCCGTTATTCCTGGCAACAACCTCCTGGACCTTGACAAGAACCTGCCGGCTGATTCAATTCTCTTCGAGGCTAGAGGTACGCTGGCCGCTGACGATGCCTCGTATGAAGGTCTTGTGCGAGCCAAGATGGCCCAGGCGATCGGGGAGTTGGGAGCGTACTCGGCATCGAAGGATGGCCATTCTGACTATCTCTACATGAACTACGCCAACCCCGAACAAGATGTCATTGGGTCGTACGGCTGGGAAAATGTAATGTTCCTGAAGAAGACGGCTCAGAGATATGATCCGACCGGCTTCTTTCAATACCGCATTCCAGGCGGATGGAAGGTCAATCGCGTCCTGTAGGTAGTATACTAGGGGGCGAGACAGTGAAGATCCGTAGTCCATTGATTTTCCATTAATAATTCAGACTACCAGATGGCTTTGCCCTAAGTGACGTCGCCAAAGATATCCCGGTCCACCACAGCCGCTTCACTAGGCCCATGATCGAATTTAGCAGTTGTGATGTTGTTACCACTCGACATACCGTCCCGTCTGCCCCCGTCTATAAATCCTGGGCAAGACTTTGCTACAAATATATTGAGTCTAGCCCAGCCCGTTTGAATATGATGAAATCAAGCGTCGGGACTACTGTCCCGTCGTGAAATGCGCAGGGGAAAATCTTCAATAAGCCAAATACCCTGCAATAACTCTTAGCTCATCATAGCACAAGCCAGGAGGGCGCATTACTCACCGCGTTTATGATATGCAGAGGTCTTTCGGGATGCACCATGGCAAAATCAAAACGTCTCAAAAGCTATTGCAGCTATGTCAGTCTGGTTAGGCCTCGTGAATAGATCGATATGCACTCACCTCAACGAAAATCTTGTTTAGTTCTATGAGTGCTACTGGCTTGCCGAGATACTGGTATTTTCCGCTGGAGAAGACGAGGTTCACCACCTCAGACATGCCTTCGACCTGTTCTGGTTCTGCTTCCAGCCAGCGTTCCGGTACAAATAGAGCCGCGTCGTTGCCGAATATCTTTTTAGAATGGTAGATGCTAAACGGAGAAGTGCTAATCTGCGTTCCTCCAGGGATGAACTTGCCATCGATGGTATCACCTTGCTTGGGCACCGTTTTGAAGAGAGGACCGGCTGCGGGCGCCTTCATCCGCAGCCCTTCTTGTATAGCAGCCTGGAGATAGGGGAGTTTGCGCGCTTCGGCGTCGGTAACGGGTGAGGATATTTTCCCAGCCTTGATGGCATCGTCAATTTCCTTCTGTAGGTTTCTGTAGGCCACTGGGTTGCTGAGCAGGCTCAGCATGATGACGCGGATAGTGGTTGCCGAGGTGTCGCTTCCGGCGATAACATTAAGCAGTGATTCCCTAGACGCTTCTTCCTGGGTGAGACCATGACGGATGAAGGATCCGAGCATATCTGAGTGCTGTGTAGCGTTTGGCGCGAATCGCTCTGCAACCTTTTTGTTCGCCACGCTGGGTGATTGTAAGGATTTTGCCTGCACGGCGATAGCATAACTGACTGGGAACTCACCCAATGAATGCCCCGAAACCAAACTTGTCGCTCTCTTTGGGCAAAAGACCCCGGAAAAGACGCGAGTGTAGGAGGGAAACTAATGAGGGTATGTTGGCTATGACGAGAGTGACTGGGAAGAAAGAGCGTGTAATCTTGATAAAGTCGAAGACGTCGTCATCTTGATCCACGTAACCGAACGGCTGGCCAAAAGCTAGATCGCTGATAACGTCAAGGGTGAAATATTGAATCTTCTGAGCAAAGTCTGTCGGGCGGTAGTCTCGAGACGTTGAGAGATACTTGGTTTCTATGAGGTCGATAAGTCGTGCAATGTGGGTGTCAACTGTGCGCTCTAGTGACTCGTTCTCCTTGCCTGAGTACTGTACAGAGCTTAGCCATTTGATTGTATCACATACATGTGGGATATGTAGGAAGAGCCTTCCGATAGATCATATAGACACTGGCAAGACAATGAGGTTGAACTTACGCCGGCTGCCATCTTGTTACGCAATTTTGCATGAGCATTATCATCACGCATCGAGAACAAGTTGTCTTTGCCAGGCTCGAAACGGAGTGCGTTGTACCCTGTATACTCGGTAGGCAAATGGCCCCAAACAACATCAGTGATGAAGGGTTGTTACTCACAAGGCCCTCTCGAATACGGCGAGCGACTGGCCATCATCCGACGCAGTAGTTTGGGATCATCGGTTGCCAGCTCATTGGGGCCAATGCGCACAAGCGACCCTGCAGTTGAACCACTGAGTCTCGTAGATTAACTACAGTAGTTGAGGATACCACTCACCATATTTTTTATTGGCCGCTTGGATGGCGTAAGGCTGTGTTCCCTTGAGTGACTGTCTCACCATCTAAGCCTTGGAGAAACCGGCCCAGAACGGACCAGGAATGTGTGACAAACGGTACTACGTCCGAAGCGAATCGGCTAAGAACAGCACCACCAAGCCGATGACGGCTGTGAGAATCACGGTCCCGGGGCTGAGGGCAACAAATGCCTCCCGCAGCAGGCCTGGCGACAAACCTTGGCCAGCGCTCATCGTGTCCAACTTGGTAACTTATCTGCGCAGTGAAATGTGGGAGTGAAGGGGGAAATTCCTCAGGAGCACCAGCTAAGCTATTAGCCACGGACCTCGGCGGCGTGGGCGCGTCTCCCTCCATTGCAACCTAGTAATCAC